GAAAGGAGCTGAGGGGAGAGGGGAGGTGATATGAGAGGTGAGGTGAGGAGGAGAGGGGAAAGGAGAAGGGTGAGGAGGGGAGCCTCACTGGTAGCCCTGTCTAGGCACCTGTGGCCATATCTAGGCACACAGGGCAGGGCGCCAGGGCTGACCTCTGGTCTGGGTGTTGTACAGAGGGGCACTCCAGGAACAGGGCAGCCTTCTGCTGCCACGGATGCCTCCCTCAGAGGTTTTCAGACTCCAGTCTGAGGTCCCTTTCTACCTTTTAGAGCCAGGAGGTCAGGGGGATGGAGGGCATGGTGAGAGGCAGCTCCACCACCTGGCTCCCCTGGCCTGGTCCACCTGCACCACAACATGGAAATACCTGACCAGTGGGCAGGGACCGAACCCACAGGGCTTTTATGCCCCTGGTGTAGAAATAATAGAAATGGGAAAGCAAGGCCTTCCAGGCCCTGCCCCGCCCTGCTCAGCCAGCTCTCCCAGCTGCTTCCTTCTGGGCAGGGGCCACGACCTCGCCCCAACTCTCGCCCAGGTGGGTGTGGGTGCAGTTTGGCAGCCTCTCCCACCTCCAGTCACGGAAACAGCAGCCAGAGTGACGCAGCCGCTGTGACTTTCTAAAGGTTGATCCCGGCCCACAGGTGCTGTCTAGCTCCAGGCTGGGGCCCCTTGCTCTTTCCAGAGCTGGGCAGAGGGGCCTAACACCAAGGAAGTCAGAAACACACAGCAAAGTAACCAGATACAGCCATTCTCGTCCCTTTTTTTTTAAGAGACAGAGTCTCACTTTGTCCCCCTTGATAGAGTGCTATGGTGTCCCAGCTCACAGCAACCTCCAATTCCTGGGCTTAGGTGTTTCTCTTGCCACAGCCTCCCAAGTGGCTGGGACTACAGGCGCCCACCACAGTGCCTGGCTATTTTTTGGTTGTGGTTGTCATTGTTGTTTGGCAGGATCCCGGGCTGGATTTGAACCCGCCAACTCTGGTGTATGCGGCTGGCGCCTTAGCTGCTTGAGCTGCAGGCACCAAGCCAGAGCATCATGGTTTTTTTGCAGTTTTTGGCTGGGGCTGGGTTTGAACCCGCCGCCTCCAGCGTATGGGACCAGCGCCCTACTCCTTTGAGCCACAGGCACCGCCCCAGAGCATCATGTTTTAATGAGGAGGTCCTCAGAGAGTTCAGGAGGACAGCAGGCACCCCTGGCTCTCTGGAGGCAGCATCCTTCATCTCCGCCTGGCTGGCTGGCCTGCTGTGCCCACGTTCAGCTCCTTCAGGATGTGGTCATCCTGACCTCTTTGTCCTCACTGAAGCCTTGCCTGCTGCCAGCACCTGTCTCCCATGTCAGCCTTCCCAGAGGTGTGACTGCCCTGTGCATATCGCCATGGCTGCCAGCCCTGGCCAGGGGCTTCCCCAGGCAGGTATCGTACTGGCCACTTTCTGTTTTGTGCTCCTTCCACTCCTATATGTCCAGAAGGCACTTCTCTACTACAGCAGGGGTTGGGGTCAGGTCTGTCCACTCTAACCTGCCAGGGGGGCCCTGTCAGAGTTCACCTTCTCCCTCCCTCCTTTTGATAAGAACGGAGGCCAGGGACACTCACGTGCTCCTTCCCTGGAGGCCTCCCTGGATTCCGAGGCACACCCTGCCAGGCTGGGCACCTGTCTACCCCCAGCCCCAGACGAGGAGAGCCCTAGCATACCAGGGAAGGAAGGGCCCTCGGGCCAGCTGGCCATGCCGGCTGCAGTGGGCAGGCTGAGGCTGTGTCTGATCCAGCTACACCAGACAGCCTCAGCCTCTTTCTTTCCTGCCTCCCTCAACCCTCCCAAGATGACAGAAAGGGCTGAGGCAGGGCTAAGCTGAGGCAAGTCGGTAGTCCCCTGCCTCGAGCAGGTGGGAGCTCTGCCACGTCCCACTCTCGGTGCACAACTAAACCGTTAGTCTCCATGGACCAGACTTCCCTTTCCTTCTTCCTCCCATGTGGCTTCCCACTTCATCCGCTTCTGCCTCTGGCCCCTCTGGCCTCTGAGGGGCAGGTGGGTCCCCGGCAGCCCCAGACTCAGTCAGACAGCCCCCAGGCCTGCCCAGGCTCTGACTTTGACCTGAGGACCTCTGCGTTTCAAGCACTTTCTCTACACCCAAACTACTATGTGGAGGAAAAATGAATCTCAACACTCTTTCCCTCGTGCCTGTCTCCTCCCTCCACCAGCACCTGCTTTGCCCTGCCTGGGCAGGAATGGACTAGCGCTGTTCACACTCCATGCCTCCTCTCGGGCTAAATTCAGTCCCCAGAGCCTGCTGATGGGAAGGCACTCTGGCCCCACCGGGGACATGTCTGCTCCGGGCCTGGGCCTCCTCTGCACTATCTGCCGCCCCAGCTCTCCTTCCTCCATGCCACCCCTCCAGAGGGACCTCCCAAGAGACCTGCTCAACTGCTCATGAATCCACGTCACCCCCCGGGGCGGCCTATTTGGAGAGATCCCCACTCTAGAGGTTTTCTTCCACACCCAGATCTCTGAGACACATGGCAGCCTGGGATAGAGAGAGGCCGTGCTCTGGGGACAGAGTTTACGTGGTGTGAAAGAAAAACAGAAAAGAGAATAAAGAAGAAAAGTTGAAAAGAAATGAAAAAATAAAGATTGAAGAAAAGAAGACTTAACCACCCCCCACCCCATTCAATCATTCACTCAGATCACCGTGGAGACTTCGGGCTGGCCTCTTGGCAACTGCCCCTGACATGGGCCACTTTGTTCCCTGCCCCAGACCAGCACAGGGATAAACCAGAGGTGACTGTTGTGGTAGCAACCCCCAGGTGCCTCTGATATGCCAGAGACAAAAGCCCTCTGTCCACATGGTCCAGCATTGCCATGGGGCTGTGGCTGTGTGTATCTTAACTAAAAGTACAGAAATCGTCTCTGAGAAGCTGGTGTGGGACATGGAGCCTGGAGCAAAGGTCCTGGGGGCTGGATCAGCCCTCTGCCCTAAAAGGCTGAGTGGGGGGAGATCCTCCCCTCCCCGGAACCCCACCTGATAGGGGCTCCCACAGACCTCCCTGCCTGGAGTGTGCCAGCTGCCTGCCAAGGCCCAGCTCAGCAAGGGTGCCACGCCGTGTGCCACTCTCAATGGCACGAGGGCCCCTAACGCAGGGACTTATGGCCAAGGTCTGCCCGGAGCATTTAAGTACCTTATACTAATCCGCTCTTGGATAAACACCAAGATGCAGAATAAGATGCTAAAGCTGAATGCCACGACCTATTTATCATGATTTTAAAAAATTCACATCTCCAGTCTCAAGTTCAAATCTATTCTGTGGTTGTCTCCATCACCTTTACAACCTGAACTCTCCCTGTCACCTGCCCCTCAGCCAGACCTGCTGGCCATCACCGGAGGCGGCTGCTAACTCTGACTGTTCTCTCCCTCTGTGTAAAGCTCCCAGACACATTTAGCAGTTTAACTTGCACTTGCAGACAAATGACTTTCACTTATAAGGTATGAATTCAGCCTTCCAAAAATTCAGCCCTCCTAAACTGCTCAAGGCCACTTTACTTTACTCACCATGCACAATGCCTCTCCCAAACCCTTGGCCAATAAACTGCTCTGGTATTTTGTTTTTCAACGTGTTCACTTTGTTCCCTTTCTCCACAATCAATTCCTCTTAACTAAAACATGTCATTAGGAAGGCTTCCCAAAGGCAGGGCTTACCCCATGGCCCCACCTCCCCCACCCCTGCCAGGGGCCAGGCACCCAAGAAAGCAGGTAAAAGGTAAGGAGATGAAAGGTCAGCCGGAGCCAGATTCCCAAACACCAGTCGCCTGGGGGAAACAGAGATGTAGACATCACCCTTGTGATATAAAACAAACAATAAAACTCATGTGTCAACAGACTTCAAAAAAACGGTCTTTACAGCAAGCAAAATGCAAAGACGTGCTCTGTGGTAGACATCTTTCAACATGGCCTTGGACCCACAGATCCAGAGACAGGAGGGTGGGTGGGCAGATACACAGGTAGATGGATTCACGTTTGTGCTTTGACAATGAAGATACAGAATGTTCCTGCCAAACTCTTTGGCATATGCTAGACAATGTGATCCACATATGGGTTGGGACAACTAAGTTCTTGAATTCATCCTAGAAAAAGTGCTACATCCTTCATTGCTGAAGATCACTACCGTCACCTTCAAAGTACTTCCCGTGGGAAGCTATGCACTGACGTCAGTGTCTTGTCCAGTCTTCAAAGCAGTTCTGGGACTCTTTCTGGAATGGCCATCAGAGCCATCATCATACAAGGTCTGACAACTAAGTTGGATTCAGTGTATACAGCTTCCCAAGCAGAGGACTTCGAAGGTGACCACAGTGATATGCAGCAATGAGGTATGCAGCACTTTTTCCAGGACAAGTTCTCAAACTCAAAAATATGTGTAGAAGGTCAATTGTTAATGCATTTGACTGGCATTAGTTCATTTAATTCGCACTAGAACCCTAGGAAATGGGTACTACTACTAACCCCATTTTCTAGTGAGAAAACCAAGAATGACATCTCAAGAAATTTCCCCAAGGTCACAGCCAGCAAACAGCGGAGCTGGGAATCAAACCCAGGTCCAACTCCTAAACTCATGCTCTGGCTCAGTGCTTGTAACTCAGTGGTTAGGGCACTAGGCTCATACACCAGGGCTGGCGGGTCCAAACCTGGCCTAGGCCTGCTAAATAACAATGACAACTATAACAAAAAATTAGCTGGGGCTTGGTGCTTGAAGCTCAGCAGCTAGGGCACCAGACATACACCAGAGCTGGCAGGTTTGAATCCAGCCTGGGCCTGCCAAATAATGACAGCTACAACCAAAAAATAGCCAGGTGTTGTGGTGGGTGCCTCTAGTTCCAGCTACTTGGGAGGCTGAGGTAAGAGAATCGCTTCAGTCCAAGAGTTTGAGGTTGCTGGAACCTATGACGCCATGGCACTTTAATGGGGGCAACATAGTAAAACTGACTCAAAATAAATAAATGAACAAAACTCATGCTCTACCAAAGCTAAATGCCAGGTACTACACAAAAAGTTCTACTTAAGGCTTGGTGCCCATAGCACAGTGGTTATGGCACCAATCACATACACCAAGGCTGGCAGGTTCGAACCTGACCTGGGCCAGCTAAACAATGACAACTGTTACAAAAGAAATAGCTGGGCGTTGTGGCTGGTGCCTATAGTCCCAGCTACTTGGGAGGCTGAGACAAGAGAATCACTTAAGTCCAAGAGTTGGAGGTTGCTGTGAGCTGTGATGCCATAGCACTCGACCTAGGGCGACATAAGGAAATTATGTCTTAAAAAGGGGGGGGGGCGGCACCTGTGGCTCATTTGGCAGGGTGCCAGCCCCATATACCAAGGGTGGCCAGTTCAAACTTGGCCCGGGCAAACTGCAACCAAAATAACTGGGCATTGTGGTGGGCGCCCATAGTCCCAGCTACTCAGGAGGCTGAGGCAAGGGAATTGCCTAAGCCCGGGAGTTGGAGGTTGCTGTGAGCTATGTGATGCCCTGGCACTCTACCATGGGCAATTAAGTGAAACTCTGTCTCTACAAAAAAAAAAAAAAAAAAGTTCTACTTAAGATTCTTGAAGTTACAACACAGATATAAAATTAGGCCACCAAAATATGATCGCAGCCAGCAATAAAACTACAGTAACTACAAACGCCATGTGTGCCAACTCTAAAATTCTTCACATGCTCCAAGTCTTCCAGCTAGAATTGCACAATTCACATGCACATAGTTGCAGGCTTTGCCTTCTATTAAAACCTAGCTAACAGGACAGCACGGTGTCTTGTGCCTGTAATCCTAGCACTCTGTGGGAGGCCGAGGCAAGTAGGTTGTTTGAGCTCTGGGGTTCAAGGCCAGCCTGAGCAAGAAGCGAGACCTCGCCTCTAAAACTATCGCTGTATAGTGGAAGGCACTCCTTGGGAAGCTGAGAGAAGAGGATTGTTTGAGTCCCAGAGTTTGAGGCAGCTGTGAGCTATGATGCCGCCATGGCACTCTACCGGGCAAGAAAGTAAGACTGTCTTAAAAAAAAACAAACAACCGTACCTAACAACTGTCCATATTGTCCAGCAGTAGAGAACTGTGCTGGAAATCTGCTCAGAAAAAGGTTACCCACAGAAGTGAAGCAATGACAGCTTAGCTCTGTGTGAAATCAGGCAGGGTCTCCAGGACACAACCAGTAGCCTTCACTTAGGAGAAAGTGTGAGGCTGGATGACAGCTGGCCTGGCCCTGGCAAAACTCAAGGAGACACCACAGGAGTCAATAGCAGAGTCTCTGGCAAAGGCAGTTATCTTATCTACAACATGATCTTGGATCCCCAGGTGACCAACCCTGGGAAGCTTCTTGTTTGGGGAAACAGAGCTAGTGCCAACCTCCAGGACTGGCTCCAACTTGGGGAACCACATGCGAGCCATGTATGCATGACTTCCAAGGTGGCAACCCAGACTGGCCTCATCACTGTTACCCAAAGAACTTCAGGGAAAGTTCCAGGACGGTTCTGGTAGGGTGCCAGTACCCCAGGGGTTTCCCTAAGGCCAGCATGGGCATGCTGACTCTTGCAAAGGTAAATGATGACAAAAATTAGCAATAACGGGAGGAAAAAAAGCAGCAATAGCTTCTCAGCAGCAGTAGCTTCTAGTCACAGGTCACAGCAACCTCAATTGGTCACCTGGGGATGCAAGATCATGTTGTAGATAAGATAACTGCCTTTGCCAGAGACTCTGCTATTGACTCTTGTGGTGTCTCCTTGAGTTTTGCCAGGGCCAGGGCCAGCTGTCATCCAGCCTCACACTTTCTCCTAAGTGAAGGCTACTGGTTGTGTCCTGGAGACCCTGCCTGATTTCACACAGAGCTAAGCTGTCATTGCTTCACTTCTGTGGGTAACCTTTTTCTCAGCAGATTTCCAGCACAGTTCTCTACTACTGGACAATATGGACAGTTGTTAGGTACGGTTGTTTGTTTTTTTTTTAAGACAGTCTTACTTTCTTGCCCGGTAGAGTGCCATGGCATCATAGCTCACAGCTGCCTCAAACTCTTGGACTCAAACAATCCTCTTGTTTGAGCACACATCCTGTGCACCCGTAAGTCCTGTCATTACTCACCTGCAGACGTGTTCTGTGGTCTTCTACTTTATTAGTAAAAAAAAGTGTATATATATGCAAACATAAATATTATTTCCCAAACCTGAAGGATATAATAGAAGCAAGAATGTGAAACAAAAAACTTTTTTTTTTTTTTTTGAGATAGAGTCTCACTATGTCGCCCTCAGTAGAGTGCTGTGGCCATCACAGGTCACAGCAACCTCAAACTCTTGGGCTTAGGTGATTCTCTTGCCTCAACCTCCCAAGTAGCTGGGACTACAGGCGCCTGCCACAATGCCTGGCTATATATACGTATATATGGCCAGTGACCTACCCACTGAGCTATGGGCGGTGGTCTAATTCTTCTATTTTTTGTAGAGATGGGTCTTACTATGTTATTCAGGTTGGTCTCAAACTCCTGGGCTCAATCAATACTCCCACCTAAGGCTCCCAAAGTGCTAGGACTGATTATAGGTGTGAGCCACCAGGCCAGGCCAGCTTGGTTTTTGTTTTTTTAAGACATAGAGTCTTGATGTGTTGCCTAGGCTTGCCTTGAATTCCTGTGCTCAAACGATCTTTCCACCTCAGCCTCCCCAGTAGCTAGGACTACAGGTACTTGCTACCAAACCTGGCCTCGAACTTTCAATGTGTAAGACTATATCTTGAATTCATGACCAAGTAGTCAATAGTAACATTAGTTAAAGTGACCACCAGTGAATTTCCTGTAGTCAAGTACACCATTACAAACCATTCACATGGCTCGGCACCAGTGGCTCAAGTGGCTAAGGCGCCAGCCATATACACCTAAATTGGTGGGTTCGAATCCACCCAGGCCCGCCAAACAACAATGATGGCTGCAATCAAAAATAGCCAGACGTTGTAGCGGATGCCTGTGATCCCAGCTACTTGGGAGGCAGAGGCAGGAGACTCACTTGAGCCCAGGAGTTGGAGGTTGCTGTAAGCTGTGATGCCACGGCACTCTACCAAGGGCGACAAAGTGAGACCCTGTTTTAAAAAATATATATATACACATATACACATATATAATATACATAATATATACATGTATATTATACATAATATACATTTTTATATACATTATATATTATACTGTACATACATATACATGTATTATATATTATATTATATATACACACACACATACACATCCAAGGTATTGACAGGTTCATTATCTTGACTATCTACTCAGATACTTACTTTGTAGTTAAAGGAATAGGTTCTCCACCAACCCTGACCTGGCTCCAGATTGCTGGGAAGAGGCATGCACCCACTCCAGAGGCATCCCCACCCCTCTTTGTACCAGCAGTCTGTTCCCACAGGTGTTTCTAAGACCACAGAGACCTTGTATTCCCCTTACACATTCTTCACCTTTGCACATGGGATAAATTGATCTTGTCAAACCACATGCCGCAATTTGGGAAATACAAAATGCAAGTGGTGTCCAAAAAACACCACTGCAGCTTAGGACACTGTTTGCTAGAACTTGTATTTATTTCACACGCTCAAAAACTCTTTCCACATCTGACCTCTTATAGGGTTGTCATAGAACGCATGTAATACAGG